ATCCCATGTAAGAAACATATATATTAGCGTGACTTCACCTCTGTATATGATGTGGGTCAAACCTGGAGATTCAACCAACAAGGAAGTATTTCGAACCGACAAAATTGAAGTACAACATCCATAAGTTTGGGCATGGGTCCAATTTTTTGGCTCCGCTAAATGGATAGGGGGTTGATACAAAAGATGATCAATTTTCCTGGTCCTTCGATCTTGAACCTCCGCTACTTGATGTGATTTGCAGTTCTTGCACATATACACACAATATATATATATATCATCATATATATATATCATCATATATATATATATCATCATATATATATATATATCATCATTATATATATATATCATCATATATATATATATCATCATCATATATATATATATCATCATATATATATATATATCATCATATATATATATATCATCATATATATATATCATCATATATATATACATATATATCATCATATATATATATCATCATATATATATATATCATCATATATATATATATCATCATCATATATATATATATATATATCATCATATATATATATGTATAGATATGTATTCTAAATGTCACAAGCTAGAAAGAGGCAGCATGGGATGCTTGTGCCAGGTTTAGGTTGGTGGATGTTTGAAGATGGAGTTCTAAAGCAACGAACTTTGGATCATCGGCGCCTCAATCAATGGATTGGTTCAAGGGAAAATCTACAGGAAACCATAGATTTTTCCCATTAAATATGGGGTTTTCCTGTAAAAATTCCCTTAAGCAAATCCATTGACTCAAACATGATATATGCTAGTTACGGAATACCAAGACTGTGAAACACAAGCTGCAGGACGGTGGATTTGAACGTTGATATGCCGACTTCCATCTGATACTGACGCACGCACCTTTGGATATCAAGACGATGCACCGCAAAAAGATGATCCCTTTGACGACCTGGCCTGGAGCGTCCAGGGTCAGCAACGTGAGTGATCTGCGCCATGGGGGCGGACGATGGTCTCAGGGTTAAATCAGATGTGAGGTTATGCTGCCGCCAGGGCAGATTCGTACCGCTGCCAGCAATCTTCGTTTCACAGCGTTTCACACGATCCGCGTGTTGCAGTGGACTTTGTCATATGTGCAGATATGTAGAGACCATAGAGACCTATTGAAAAGAGCAGGTCTTGGAAATCCATTGCACCTGGGGCTTTGTTGTGGACTATGGTGACTATGGGTGACTATGGTGACTATGGTGACTATGGAAATGATCACTGTGGATTCGTCAGCCCTTGGTGGTGCTATGGAGATCAGCGGAATGGCCGGTTCAGGCCGCGAGGGATTCAGCATTTGCTGCGATCCTGGCCGGATCAGTTGTGACGTGGGGCGATCCAGATTGTGGTGGTGACAGCTCTATCCAAGAACAGTTGAGGAGATTTCAGGAGTTTTTCTTTTTTCTTTTTTGAGAGATTTCTGTTGGCACAGGTCGTTGGGCCCTCCTAGCTGCCAATAAAAGTGCCAGATATTTTGAGGGAGCAACATGGAGATCGTTATGAAAACAAAAAAAAATAAAAATGAAAAAAACGTGCGGACCCTTGGGAATGGCATGAAAGGGCTGGGTCTGGGAGTCTGGACTGGACTAACTTGCAGCCGAGTTCGTTTTTTTTGACGGTTGAGTCTGAAAGATTTAAAATCGCGTTTGCCTGAGAAGAGGGCACCCAAAAAATCTCATTTTTGAAGATTGCGATACTTTGTAACATATCTATTGATTTCCATTTTTGGGCAAACCCAACTCAGCAGTATCATGTATCTGTCATCATTTGCGATCTATGAGATCCATCTGCAGCTGTTTCAGATCAGGGTTTCTGTGGATCCTGATGCGGCTGCTGGTTCCCTGGATGAAGTGGGACCTGGAAGGGCTGACATGTCACCACTGGATCCAACCTGATCCAACCTGATCCAACGTCCAAGGCAAATGTCAGCTTCACCGCATTCTGAGCGGCCTCGGGTCTATGATCGTGGGGATCCTCTTGTTCCTCTCAAGGCGATCAGCTGGGTTGCGAGTCTTCGCTTGGCGTCAACGAAAGCTGAAGATTCGGCAAGATTTCGAAGCCCAGAAGGGTCATAGTCATACCTGTGTGGTTCCAAAGACCCAAGCAACCTGGATTGCCACGGCCAGGATAGATTGGCTCCAAGCACAAGAATGTCCGAGCTTAATGGTGGACAGAGAAAATATCAGTCAGAACCTTAGCCTCTGGCGATTGTCACCATTTTCTGGACACCTGAAATTTTCGGACCAGCCAAAATCAGATGCCAGAATAATTGGATGAACGGAGAATTTACAGGAACCCACAACTACTTAAATTGCCAACATTGCCATGGTTTTCAGCGAAAATCCCGAAGAAGCGAACCCCCATTTGGTTGATGATCGCAATTGACTATATCATTATATATATATATCATGATATATATATATATAATTATATATCTATAATCTATATATATATATACCAATCACTCAATCTCTCTCTCTCTCTATACTTATTTTGAGATTTTCTGGCCCTGAAAGTGCCATAAAAACCACGTCCAAATTTCTCGTCGTTCCGAACGGTCACCGTTCTTCCAGACCCTGCGATGACCTGTGGTGTGCCCTGTCAACTCATGGAACTCAGCTTGGCAGATCAGTGCAGGTGAGACTTGGATGGGCTTGGGGTTGGGCCACTTGGGGTTGGGATGGGAATGGCAGCAACTTTTGGGTGACCGGTGACCATTAAAACACAGGGGTTGAAGAAAGCAACACATTGTGGAGTTGAATGGCTCCCCAGCTTGGATGAAGGGAACATTTTTATATGTAAAGCAAGGGTCCCTGTAAAGAAAACATCCTTGAAGCGGCCCGCTGCTCACATCCATGCCTTGCCGACAATTACGACTTCTGTTTTTTTTTTTTGCCTTGGTTTGGGCCGCTCTTGAAACCCGGATTGGGATTTTCACTATGATGGATGTTGGTTTCAATGTTGGCTAATGATGGTCCGGATCCCAATAAGGAACCCAACATGAACACATTCAATGCCGGACCAGGTGTTTATCAGGAGGAAGGGATTATCTAAGAGAATCATTCCCGCCCAAATGGCGATGTTGATTGTGATTGGGGGATATTGGGGGAATGATCTGTTTGAAACATGGTCAACATGTAGGCTGTGGCATTCTTGTTTGTCCAGATTATGTCACGGATGATGTGGGACAAGTCCCAGACCAAGGATTGGATGGCGAAAACACACCCCTGTGACCCTGACACACCCCGCTTTTGGCTGAGATTTTTTGGTATAAAACCATATAAAACCCATACCTACAATTTTCAGAAATCCAACATTGACCCGTGTAACCCATGTATGTATTTCATTTACTCGTGCGACATGATATTCGTTTTATATGGCACACAGGACAGATAGATAGACACATGCAGACGCAGATACGCGATGATACGCGTACATTGTTGCATAGTCCGATTTGACTAACATACATATACTTATATATATAATTATATATATATATATTGTATATATGTATATATACAATTGTATACACATATCTTTGTGTCTAGTATTTTTTGGGTCTGTTGGTATGGTGACCCAGATGCACCTGGGCGTAAAAAACAGACATTTCACTCCCATCATTTGGACGTTGGGATGCCAGGTTTGATGTCTCTGGTTGTGGAGAGAACGCAGAGCTGCCATGTTTGGAGAGACATGAAGCCCTGGTCATAGTATAGCATATTAATAATATGATATTATACATTATACCCCAGTTATCTGTATCTATATATATATAATATATATATAGATACAGATAACTGGGGTATAATGTATAATATATAATTATATATACACATTATATGGGATATCTCCAGGTATATATGGTTTACAAAGCATTTATTTACTGTAACTGGTATGCACATCCAAGTGGGAAAGGAACAGGGACGATTGCCAGGTGCCCGCTGGGACATCTTGCCCTATCGCTTGCCGAAGCCCTTTTGCAGGGGAGGCCAGGGGTGGGTGAACCAACAAGGCCGTCAGGTCTGCAATGACTATCCTGGTCACGATATTTTGGCAAGAGTTACAGTATTTATAGGCTGTTATACCAAAAGCTGCCACCACTAACAGCCTCAGTGGGGCTTCGCAATTGGAACTTTGTTGGGTATCCAGCCCCAACATAGCATGGCAGAATGTCACCATGGGTGAGGCTGCGCCGGCCTCCTGTCCTCCTGGAAATACCGATCCCTCAACACCTGTGGAGCTCCAGTTGCAGATGATGGCTGATGGCTGATAGTTGATGATGGTTTGGGATCTCAATATCTTGATGGTTGATGGTTGATGATGGTTGATGATGGTTGATGATGGTTGATGATGGTTGATGATGGTTGATGATGGTTGATGATGGTTGATGATCAGGTAAAGTCGTTGAGCAGAGCCACTGATTTTGGGGGGCTAATGGGGGCTAGGAGCTGTTCTCTGGGCATTTCGAGCTTGAAATGACTCTGGTGCTAAGGGTGCCACAGCATCTAAAACTCGGCATCTTCGCCTAAGCAAGTTCCTAAGATCATCTGCAAATGACACCACTTCATGATTTCACCCCCTGATTCCATGATCTTCGATCCTGGGATCATCGTCCCCTGTCCCAGGAATGGACCGCCCCGGATTGCGACTTGTTCGCCAGCGACTGCCCTATCTTGATGGACCTCCCTGAGGCTTATCTAGAAGTTGAAGGAGGTGGCTACACCTGCGCCGAAGGTTTTGCAGGAACTGCGGTGGCCAGGTGTGTTCCGGATGAGGAGTGCAAGAGCAGCTTACAATGGTTTGGTGACTTGGAGAAATATGTTGGAATCCTCAGGGAGTTATAAAAAAACATACGGGATATCTATGTCTCTCTCTATATATATATAGATGATATGTCTATTATGTATCCTGGGGTGTTATAAATGGTTTTTGTTGACACCAAAGCAACTTTTGAAGTATTGGCATTGGCCAAGAGATGGGTAGCCTGTGAATTGTGATTCCTTTCAGCTCAACATCTCGAGGCCCCAGATCAACTGCTTACTGTAGTTGGAACGGTCCTGTGAAGCTCCATTTTTCACATGGCTATGGATCAATACCTATAAAAATATCATTTTTAGTGGGATGAACATCCATTTACCAGCTATTTTGATGTGAACTACAGGGGTACAAGGTTTTGACACACTGCCACATCCCAACCACACCAAGGATGCGAACAAACCGCGGCCTGTGCACCGCCTCTGAATTTGATCGGTTGCTTGTTGGACGTGATGCAATGTAGCGAGGTAAAACCCGGTGGAAGTTGCCCAGTGAGTTGTCGTTTCCCTTACACGGGCTGGTCTTCGGTGGCTGTGTGCCGACCCGATAACGTTGACGAAGAGGTGGGATTGTTGGTGGTGGAACCTCAGTGCACCCTGACATGTGAAGATCCACCAAATGAACCGGAAGGAACTTGGATTTATAATAGCCATACACTTAAGTTTTGAGTTTTGTCTTTGTTCCATTTGTTCCCCATGAAAAATGGGAAAATCTTGCCAAGGATATGTGAAAGTTTCCACTGGCAATGGCTGGGCCTGCGCCCCGGGCTATGGGGGCGATGCCCAGTGGGATTGTGTCATTGATTCGGTGTGTGCGTCCAAAAAGGTCCTCTCTGGCTGTAGCTTATTGGCGCGATGTATTTTGCCAGAGGCATGGGGCAAAAATGGGCAAAATGGGGTGTGGTACCCTGAGTTTTGGTACTGAAGCGACTGAAGCAGAGTTTATTTTTATATGTTTATATGAATTGATATGGCTTAAAGCTCGGCTTAAAACAAACACCACCAAGACCTTATGTCACCAAAAGCACTGTTTTCTTTTGATGCAAACAGTAAACATATGTACAAATTATACTCTTTTAACTATTTCAGTTAGCAGAAGTTTGAATTCAATCCAGTTCCTTCTGTTGATCAACCCTTCCAGCGCCAGGTCGAAAACGCCTGCATGTACGACTTCACCCGCTGTATCGGCGAAGCCGCCAGTCCTGGCAGATCGTGTCAGGTGCACTGCAAGCAACCGTACCAAGGCAACACCAATGCTAGCTGCCCCAATGGGAACACCAACCCATTGCGCCAGCTCAGTTGGGAGGAACCCAACTGCCAAATTGCATGTGCCGAAGTGGCCGATGTTCCGGTGGGTTATTTGTCCCATCCCTACATTCGAGTCTTTGGTGGTTGGCAATGCACCGATGGCTATGCGGGTGTGCCTTCCATTTCCTGTGCCACGGATGGCAACTGCAATCCTCAGCTGCGATTTTCGGGCTGCAACGCCCTGTTGCCCTGTGAACCTCCTATCCTGTCGCAGGGGAAGCTGTGCGCCTTTCAACACACCTGCATCTCGGTCCGCTCCGGGGACTCCTGTGAAGTCACCTGTCGTGCCCCGTATGTTGGTGGGGTGGCCTTTGCTACCTGCCCTCCCAACAACACCATTGTGGGTCGGGAGCTGGTCTGGGACGAGCCCAATTGCAACCTACAGTGTCCCATGCCGGACCCCGTGCCTGCCGGCTATCTTCCCGATGGGATCGATATGACTGGGAAGCAGAAATGGACCTGTGCATCGAGATACGAGGGAATTCCAGATGTCAAATGTGACATCGGAGACGACTGTGTGGCGGCTTATATATTTGAAGGCTGTGTGCCTCAGTGGCTTGGACCTGTGGGACCACGGGCGAGTTGTGGTGGCATTGGTGGGCTCAGGTTGTGGCTAATTCTTGCGAAACTCCAGCTGTCAGCCATTGGAGATATCTATAATTAGACATCAACACGCACAGATTATCATCATAATCATAATCATATCCATCTCCCTATCTCCCTATCTACTGATCTACCTATCTACTCATCCATCCCTCCAACCATCCATATATAGAGTAAAAATTACAATATATATATATATATATATTTGTAGATATGCAAATAAATAAATTAATACATATATATATATATGCAAATACATATATATATAATATACATGTATACAAATAAAATACATATTTATACATCTCCCAAATTTCACAACGACCTCAGCAGCTCCAAGGACCTCTTGCCGCCTCCCTGACGACGTGCCTTGCTCGGTGGACTTCTCTCAGTGTCTCAACGTCTTCGCCGGCGACAGCTGCGAGGTCTCCTGCGGCCCCAGTTTCACGGGAAACGTCACCGAAGCCAGCTGTCAGGAGGGCAACACGGATCCGATGACACCCTTGGAATGGACCTTCCCTGGATGTGTCTTGAGTTGCCAGGTGGGAGGCTGACTTTTTCGATATGAGGATGAAATATTAAATAAATGAAGAAAGCTTTGGAAGGGGATCTTTCAGAATTTCATCATTTCCAAATGATCACAGTCTTCCCATGTCTTCCCTGTCACACCAGGATCCGGTGAATCCAGTGGGTTACATCAAGACGCGCTTCATGTGTGCGGCCAACCATTCTGGCTATCCGGAGTCGCTATGTGCGGCGGATTTCAATGACCAGTGCAACCCCACGTACTCCTTCTATGGCTGCAATGAGGTCGTTCCTTGCGCAGCCCCGCGGCCGGGTGGAGGACGAACCCGACTGGCTTCGTACAGTGCAGAGGAGATGGGGGAAGGGGCCAGCGAGTCGTAGATGCTTGGGTACATCTATCATCAAATCTGAAGTACTATGGATATCATGAGAAATGACGATGTACTTTTGGCGATTGATACATATTGATATACAACATGAGCAACACATGCTTGCGTCATGCAATATAGGATTCCATTCCTCACTGCATTTGTTGGGTGGATTTCTCCAGTTTTGTGGTCCAAACACCAAGCCACCAAAGCCCTGGGCCTTCCTGAGGACCAACTTTGTATGTTTGATTTTTCTGACTGTCAACGAGTCCCCCCGGGCGGAAACTGCACAATCCGCTGCGGCTCGGATTATGCTGGCAAATCCACCGTTGCCTACTGTCCCTCGGACAACACGGATCCCAATGGGCAACTGGTCTATTTGGAGCCCAAGTGTAGTCTGAAGCCCTGTGAGATGCGGCCGCCACCGGGATATGTGGAAACTCCTTGCGGCTGGGAGTGCGATAGCGGCTACATTGGAGATGTGAATTGGTATTGTGCTGCTGTTGGAAGGGAACCTGGGCGCTGCCGATCCGAACTGATCATCAGTGGCTGCACTTTGACTGTACAATGTGCTCCACTAATGGTGAATGATACATGCAGGCGGGGACAGGAAGAACTTGAAGAATTGACGAGGGCTTGGCAGCTGCCATGGAATCACATGGGCCAAGCTTGTTGAACAGTCTGAGTGATAAGACCGGTTGAACAATGGCAAATACTCATGATTTGCTCGTGCACGTGGGGAAATATACACAGTCCAGTTTGGCGTTTCTTGAATTCCATGAACCCGAACTCTGTGCCACATCCTTTTTTGTTCTTCTTTGTCAAATGCAGGAGGGGTCCATACATTGGCACATAACCCTACTATAATTATGGCCATGTAGTCACAACAATTCATCCCATCCCCTTAAATACCATCGGTGGAACGGCGCAAGCCTCATGGAGGAGCAATGCTTCACAGTGTACTGCGCTGCAACCGGGTCAGGGCTGCAACATCACCTGTGCTGAACCTTACACTGGAGGACAAGGCCCAGAAGTGAGAGAAGTTGAAGCCAAAATGGACAGACGGTTGTATGGCCGATAGTGATATGCTGGTTGTGAGTTATGTCAAATGGACCTACTGTAACAAATTTGGGTGCTTTCATCATTTCTTTCAACCATTTTCAAGGCTCAGTATGACTCGATTCGCTGGGGGATCCCAAATTTCAATCAGGTGAGAATGCCACCTGGGCTTACTGTCCTGGTAGCACTACGAAGCAAGGGCAACAGCCACTTTGGGGGACTCCAATGGAAGAATGGGCCCTCGACTGTGAGATCGACTGCGAGTTTCCGAACCCCATCCCTTTAGGCTACATCTTTCAGGCTGGGGTCTGGGGCTGCGACACCGCCAATCAGCAGCTTGGAAGAATGGGGTGATAGAGGGAATGAGTTCGGAGTTGCGACCTAAATTGTTCCAAACCCAGGAAAACCCACAAAAAGCCTCCATTTTCTGAGAAAACAATCAATTGATTCACTCGTACTCTAGTACACATCCTCACTGGGAAAATACATGTTATATAAGTCACTCATCGTTCTCATGGGCAATGTTTGAGGACATTTTTGGCCCAAACAAATATGACCATGATCAAGGCCCACTGTGAAGTGACATGGCATCGTCCTCTCGC